GAGAGAGAGAGAGAGAGAGAGAGAGAGAGAGAGAGAGAGAGAGAGATGTAACATGGAGCATGTTGGTGGCGGGGAGCACAAGGGCAAGTGTTAATCTAAAAAAAAAAAGAAAAAGGTAAAATCATATTCAAATACAAAAGTTTTTTTCTTTCAGAATTCAAATACAAAACATACGCATTGTATTTAAATACAATACATACACTGATTTTTTGAACTGCACTTCTATTTGAGAAATTGGACCCAATGTCAAACTCGAGGACCGTGGCCTCCTCGGCCTCATACGGGCAGCTATTGGTCCTTCACAAGCAACAACTGCCCGTTTTTCATTAATTCACCCCAAGCAAATTCATTGAAACCTGAACGGATGATTGGTACGCCCAAATTATGAAAATTTGATTCACAAGTATAAAACATATCCCTGACGAGTTGCAGATTGATTTACTGTATGAACATGGGCTCTTAACCCATAGTTTGTCGTTTGTTGATGTGGTATGAGAAGGGTAAGGTGATGGTTATGTTGTGTTTATGTTTTACCATGTTCGTTGTATACATCTTCAAGAATGTTTATATGTGGGGTCTCGACTAGTGCTATATTCACGATGTTCATGGGACGTTGTACCCGGTTTCCAGTTGGTGTTGCTCCCCACCAAAAACAATAGTATTTTGTCGTAAGTTTTCTATAGGGGGATGCTCATATCACTGCATGCAGCATGCTAGTGGCAGGGAGCACAAGGGAAAGCGCTAAGTTCGGAAAAAAAAAAGGTAAAAATTTGAATGCTATAGTTTTTCTTTCGGGAATTCGAGTCGGAAATACATGTGTTGTATTCGAATACAATGCGTACAAGGTTTATTCGAAGTGCACTTCTATTCGAGAAAGTGGACCCACACCGTTGCGATTTTGATATGACCGCGGGGTTCTCGGTCTCCTATGGCCAGTTACCGACCTTCGGCAAGCAACAACTACCCATTCCACATGAATTTCCCCGCCAACAAATTCACCACCCTTTGGACTGGAACGGATGACTGGTGCGATCATACCATGAAAATTTAACTGAGGACCGTGCTACGTGCAAGGACGTAGCCATGACTACTTGGCGGGGGACGATGACAAATTTGGCAGATTTGGCAAGCAGGTCAGGTTCGCAGTGTGTATATGCCAAAAACCATTGAGACAAAAACAAATAAAAAAATCCTTGCAGTCGTTGACCCATCTCCCAGCCCCCCCCCCCAAAAAAAGGTAGACCCCACACATATCCCACAAGACAAAACGGCGTACCGACAATGCATCTAAACAAAAAATCGCAACACAATTCATCCGAGTACCCTGCACGAAGACGGACCTACCCCCAAATTCATGCCCACCACCCACCCATGTACCTCAACATCACCCTCAAAACCAGTAAAAAAAAAAAAAAAAACTCATGAAAAAAAAAAGATCTTCCCAACAAGATGAAACGGCGTGCTCACAATGTACCTAAAAAATCGCAACACAATCCATCCGAGTACCCTGCACGAAGACCGACCCAGCCCCAAATTCATGCCCACCCACTACCCATGTACCCCAACATCACCCCGAAAACCAGCAAAGAACAAAAAAGAAACCCAGGGGGAAACAAAAAATCTTCCCTGAAATAAAAACGTTCGATCCCCGTCCATCAACACCGAAGAATGACCTCAACGCTCGACTGCCAATCGCCCTCACTCCAAGTTGTACAACGACTGCTCCTCCTACCGGTCTTACTCCCGACAGTGACCGCATTCTTCCCCAACCCCCAAATCAGCCTACTTCATGTCCGTTGTACCGCACGTTATTTCCTGAAAAAATCCTCTCTGCAAAACGACAAAGGGCATAGACGCAACCATCCTGGGTGCGAATTAGGGGTATAAAACGGACCCCTGACGGGTTGCGAACTGACCACCCCCAACCAATTCATGAAGTTGATTGGTGTAGTTCCATATGGATTCCGACTCATGTCTATATTTCAAAAGTTGATGGGTATACCAATTGACTTACCGTGAGGGCACATGTGCGCAGCCCGTAGTTTGTATATGCTTGATTGATAAAGGAGGCGTTATTGGTGAGGTTTAGAAGTAGGGTGATTGTTGCATTAAAAAAACAGGAGTATTTGTGTGTATGTGTCAAGATTAGTGTGTGTGTGTTTGTGTGATACTTAGGGTGTTTGTGTTTATCACATTTGTTAGTGTTGGAATATGTGGGATTTAGGTAATTTATATGGATATTTGACATACCTTGATTCATAGTTGGTGTCGATGCTCGTGGTCCTTGAATCTTCATCCATATGTCGTATATGTGTGTGCTTGAGTGTTTGTTGTTGTAAGTTTTTTTTTAATTAAATAAAAATTATTTTGTCACATGTGACTCATTCAATCGGGCGCTGAACATGTGGGGCGTTGAATACATCCACGTTCAAACACATTTGTTTGCACTTGCAAATGCAATGCAGGTGTCGTGTCAACTTGCGACCAAGGCCGCACACTTTTCGATTTTGACTTTACCACCCTGCCGCTGCTTTGCCACCGTTTCGACCAAAACCCACCGCGCGGTCCTACGAGCAGCTACCGGTCCCAGATTTTACAAAAAAACTACCACCACCCCGCAAAGATTCACCATGCCGCTGCTTTGCCACCGTTTCGACCAAAAACCAACACGCGGTCCCAAGGCAGCTACCTGTCCCGCATTTTTCAAAGAAACAACCACCACCCCCCAAAGTGGCGTGCCTGCACTTGCCTGCATTTTTCGAACCTTCCAACGACCAAACGAGCCCAAATCAACAACTTGTACGACGAAAATGTCTCGGGGGGAAATGTCTCCGAGGGGGAAAATGCACCCCTGACAGACGGGTTCCACTTTCCCACCCTGCCGCTGCTTTGCCACCGTTTCGACCAAAACCCAGCACGAGGTCCCACGGGCAGCTATCGGTCCCGCATTTTTCAAAGAAACCGCCACCCACCCCCAAAGATCCACCCTTCCGCTACTTTGCCACCGTTTCGACAAATACCCAACGCGCGGTCCCACATGCAGCTACCGGTTCCACATTTTTCAAAGGAACTGCCCCCCCCCCCCCCCAAGTGTCGTGCCCTGCCTGCATTTTTTTCGAACCTTCCAACAACCAAACGAGCCCGAATCAACGACCGGTATAACGAAGGACGACGAACATGTTTGGGGGGGGGAAGTCTCAGGGGGGGGAAACACACCCCTGACGGGATGTGAAGACGGGCTGCGAACTGAGCTAGGTCTGCTGGTGTATTCCCATCCCTCGTTCAGGTTTTTGTGTTCAAGGGACGGGTTGACGCACCGTAGACGAGCGCTGACAAAGGGGATAGGTCGTCGACGAGGAGCGTGCACAGACGCGGCGATAGAAAGGAAAATTGCCATTTCTCGATTTATGCGTGTCATCCTTCCGCAGAGGCCATGCTAATCTTGTGGGAGAGCGTTGGCCATAGCCACTGCTGCTACTCGATGAGGGGTGGGGGATAATGAGAAAGGGAGGCGCAACTACTGCCAGGTCTCGGTCTTTGTGTTAGCCAGACCCCAGCTGCCGGCCCCAACCCTAAATTGACTTACCGTGAGGGCACAGGTTCGCAGCCCGTAGTTCGTTTGTTTATGTGGTTCGGAAAGGGTAAGGTAGTAATTATGCTGTATGTATGTTTTGTCATGTTCACTATACACAACTTGAAGAGAGTGTGTGTGGGGTCCCGGTTGGTGCTTTATTCACGCTGGACCCAGTTTCCTACAGGTGGCGCTCCCATAATAGACAGGAGAATCTGTGTGTGTGTGTGTGTGTGTGTATGTGTGTGTGTGTGTGTGCGTGTGTGTGTGTGTGTGTGTGTGTGTGTGTGTGTGTGAGAGAGAGAGAGAGA